GTAATGATGATGAATATTTTTAGGTATAAATTCCTCGTGGTTCACAGATATCGAAATATCTGATCACTGAAAAGGCAATGGTAATCAAATTTTCTTCGAAGAACAAATAAAATGTGACGAGCATTCAAATCAACCCTCCCAGCTTCAATCCCTGCTGGAAGGCATTGAAATGATTCATAAACAACATATTCTTTTTGTTAAGGTCGTATGGTAGTCGGCGATGAAGATGATGGTGGTGATCAGCAACCGGTGATTGGATGGCCTACATGAAGGGGTCTTTAACTGGTATGTACAATCGGTGATGAAGATGGATTCTACATCAACGAGACACCTTTCTTGGTGAGGATTTCACAAGTGAGATATTATGTCGATGTTCTTTCAATGGTGGAATGGGGGGTTTTCAAAGTGATGTCGGTCGTACATGAAAAGGGGATAAACTAAGTTAAAAATCAACTAGCATAATTATAGGGGAGTTTTTAGGGAAATTATCTATCAAATTATCTAATTACCCTTATTTATTTATTTAATTATTTATTTTTATTTTAAATTTTGGTTGGTTCACAATTAATCATACATCCACACAATACTTAGTTAGAATATTTCAACCAAATGATTCTTTTATAAATAATATGACTTTATAATTAGTAAATTTCTAAACAAATATGTAAAACTACATTGAATAATTTTGAAGCTTAAAAAAAACTAAACTTCTTATGTATCCGTAAATTTTAAAAAACAAATAATATTCTTTTTACAAACTATGCGTTTTGATTTACATCTTTTCTACATACGTGAAGAAAACTTCAAATATTTTATATTTTAAAAAATGAGCAACACTTTAAGGTTGTAGATAAAAAACACACTCATTCTCAGAGTTTCTGGACACGATGAGGATGTGTAATCGTCCACGTGGTTTGATCAAAATTGTGTTGAGTCCTTAACTTTTGTTTTGCATTTGGACCATCTTTATATTTTCTTTTTATTGTGAATTTCATCCCATGAAGCAACTATTATACTCTTATTATTTTCTTTTTTATTTTACTTGTAACTTATTTATTATCCATAAAAATGCACCACCCTTTCTTCCCTAGCGCAATCATCGCCTTTTACATCCATCACCCATTGTTCTTATATCGAATTTCGTAAACAACCAAACACCAAAATCGTAAAAAACAAACAAACAAACAAACAAACTAAACGCTAAAATCAAACATCAAACTCGTGTTCTAGAAATTGAAATCAATATCAAAATCAAAATCAAACTTGTTTGTTGATTCGAATTTCATAAATCAAATCGAACAACTTCTTCAAAACAGCCCAACCAAGCCAACCATCAAACTTTTTCCATAAATCAAAATTGAAATCAAAAGAAACCTTGTGTTCTTATTTCAAACTTTGTAAACAAACAACACACCAAAATAAAAAACAAAACAAAAATAAAACACAAACCGAAAATGAAAATCGAAATCAATTGTGTTCTTATTTTGAATATCAGAAATCAAAATCAAACCTAGAATTGATCTGCAAAGTTAGGAATGTACACACATAAATGCACATCGATCTGCAAAGTTGGGGCCGTGAGGTGGAACAGATGCAAAGCATAGTAGACGATTGTGGTTGTAATTGACATTTTCGGCGAGAGAAAGAGAAGGCAAAGTAGCTAGCGTTGTACACACAAAAGCATATGGATTTTGTGGAGATAGGTTGTGAGGCAAAGTAGATGATATAGACGGTGGTATTCCGATAATGGGAAGTGGTGGGTGTTTGGTAATGGTCAGTGGCGACCTTTGATTTTAGTAATTCAGGGTTCATAAATTGAGCAACAGTGCAATGGTTCCTGATGATTGATGGTGGTGATAATCCAATGGTTCCTGATGGTTGATGGTGGCTTTAAACCGCATATTAGAAGGGGTTGTTTCCGAAAGTGGATGTTCGGTGGTTTAGACGATGCGGTTTGGGGCATTTGTTTGCTCATTATAGTGACGTTGAACGCCATAACGACGTTGTAATGAGGGGAACATCCCCCTCTTCTTGTTTTAAAAGCGTATCTCGTTGGAGTCACAACCAGAAGAAACGAGCCAAATTTCAGACTTTTCCCATTGACCAACCGTTGCCAACGAGTATTTTTTTAAAGTAACTATTAAAAAATATTCATTTATCCTATAACTACCTAACATTTTATAAATTTTTTTACACAATTTCTCTCATTTTGTCTACATAATTTCAATTATCTTAAAAAAAACATGGATCATTTCGACTCGTCTGATGATTCCGATGATGATATTTTTCTTCAGGATGATATATCATTATTACGCTACTGATCTGCTACAACCAAACCCAATCCCGCTACCAACAAGACGTTCGATATTAAACATAAATCGCGAGGAATGACACGAACATCTATACTGCGATTACTTTGCGGAGAATTGTGTCTACGGGTCGAAGGACTTCAAATGAAGATTTCGTTTGAGTAGGAATGTGTTTCTACATATCGCCAATGCATTGGAAATCCGGTATCACTTATTTACTATACTTTTATACAAAATAAATACAAATGTACTACATGTTTCTTTAATTTTACAACAAATGTACTATATTTTTAAACTGTAGATACTTTATGTTTAGGTATGATTTTTTTTTTCAATTGAGTTATGAGGTTAGAGGTAGACGGGGGTTTACAACGTTGCAAAAATGTGTTGTGACCATTCGTTTGATGGCTATGAGGGAGTCACCCGACACCATGGACAACTATATGAGAGTGTACAAAAAGAACCACATGAGAGAGTTTATATACATTGTCAGTGGGTGTTGTTGAAGCATTTAGAGACGTGTATTTACGGAAACCTTCGTTGCATGATTTGCAAGAATTGTATGCGGCCCATGAAGAACGTCATGGGTTTTTCGGAATGATTGAAAGCATTGATTGCACACACTGAAAATGGAAAAATTGTCCGGTAGCATGGAAAGGGAAATACGCAAGTGGTCATCGCGAATTGCCTTCGTTGGTTTTAGAAGTTGTTGTTTCTCAAAATTTATGGATTTGACATACATTTTTTAGGGTTGCAGGTTCCAACAACGACACTGACGTTCTTGATCAGTCGCCGATATTCGATGATCTTTTGAATGGAAAGGTCATGGATGCTCCTTTAATGGTGAATGAAAACAAATACAAATATGAATATTACCTTATAGATTGAATATATCCTCAGTATTCTACATTCGTGAATGCATTCTGATATTCAGTTGAAGAAAGAGACACATTTTTTTAAGAGAAGATAAGAAGGAACACGTAAGGATGTGGAATGCGTTTTTGGAGTGCTGAAGGCGAAGTGACATATAGCTGAACATGCAACATGACCATTGGATTTAGAAACTCTACGATATATCATATATGTATGTATCATAATGCATAACATGGTAGTAGAAGATAAATGACGAAATATTGCACACTATATCCCAACGGAGCCTAGACACGTTTAATTTCAACCAGGAACAACAAAGTATTTGCATCGTATCGTTGACATTTAGAACACAAATAAACACAGACAACTTCGAGAGGATTTAACGGATTATATATTCTATGGTAACGATAACGATAACAAATAGCATTTAGTTTTTTTTTTTTTTTTTTTTTTTTTAAATGTTTTTTTTAACGAATATCGTTTTTTTTTTTTAATTTGGATGTTATGTATGATTTAATTTCTATGTTATTTTTAATTTCTAAAAATTATTTTTATTCTATGTTATTTATAATTTTTAAACAGTATGTTTTATTTATTATGTTATATTTAAAATATATTTGTTCAAATTAAAAAAAAAGAAATTCAAAAAAAGAAATTATAAAGTGGAAAAAAGTTGATGTTATAACACGATGTAACATGGTGACCACTTCCATACTTGGTGTTATAACATGATTGGTAATGTGGGTGACACCAAAATGATGTTATGACTAATTCCCCCACCTAATGTTTTTAGATTTTTCTAGTTAATCATAAACAAAAAGATGGAGAGTAATTGTACGATGCATCAGACAAGGGGGAATGGGTAGCTTTAGGGTTCATATATTTAGGGACTTAAGATTCAATTTTGGCAAAACGATACACAGAGGATTTCAATAATTTATTAAATACTAAAATCGTGGTTGTCAAAATCGCGATCCTAATCGTAGGATCGTACGATCCTATGATCTTAGGTATGAAAAACGATCCGGATCGTAAAAGGATCGTATTTTGGGTAGGATCGCAGGTAGGATTGTAAGATCGTAGGTAGGATCGTAAGATCGAGATCCGATCCGATCCTACTATCCTTTGATTTTTTTTATTTTTTTTGTTTTGCAAATGAATTTTTTTACCACTTTATGTATTTTACCCTTTACCAATCTACAATTTATCATTTTTTATTGTGACTTATGACTAGTATTTTAAAGTTTTATAACTGTTGAAATTTGAATGAAAAATTAAATGTTTGAAATGTTTTTCATGATTAAATAATATAAATTAAGATTATATTCTATTTTGTGGGATCTTAGGATCTCGATTTCGATCTTACGATTCCGATCTTGCAAACCCAAAAACGATCCTAAGTAGTATCCCGATCTTGACAACCTTCACTAAAACTACTCTTTACATTATAAATAAGACTTTGATCAAAATGGGCCTAAACTAGTCTGGTTTGGCCCATGTGCACCTCCACATCTTCATCTGTAAAATATAAATACGATTTAATAATAATCGAAATCAGTACAAATCATGTTCACCATTTAATTTACAACATTAAAATTGTGTTTGTCAATTATTCATGCTATACACGTTGATTCTAGATCATATAACTAACGAAAGCCTCACACCATTTACTAGAATCTTAAGCCAATTAACAAAGAGGATCGACAAGGGAATGATAATTCTTCGAAGACATATGATCAATAAGAGACTTGGTACTAGCTCTTGCACCTTGAGCCACTAGTAGCATAGCCACCTGACCATGACCCGCATCAACCGCCCGATGTAAAGGAGTGCACCCGTCATTATCCTCCACATCAACCCGCGCACCATAACTCAGTAAAAGTTTCACACTTTCAACCCGACCCTTAAAAGCCGCTCTATGTAAAGCGGTCCACCCATTCTGATCCTTTCCATTCACCACCGCACCTTCTGCCAAACATTTCTTTAATCCACTAACATCGTTTACGGTGGCAGCTTTATGCAAAACATCTCTCAAATACAACATATCGTATAAATCCAGGTGATCATTCTCGTACGCAAGAGCGATTGCGGTCTTCCCCTCTTTAGTCACCGCGTACTTCACAAAAATCGATGAGTTTAGTAAGAACTCAACCGCCGCCACATGGCCTTCACTCGAAGCACAGTGAAGCGGGGTCCACCCTTTGTTATCCACAACGTCGGAATCACTCCCTAATGTAACTAAAAACTCAAGGACTTCAATGTACCCATGATTTGCGGCTATATGTAGAGCCGTTTGGCCTCGGGAATCAACTGAGTTTATATCGATATCTAGATAATTCATACATAAAACTTCCATTGTTCCCACCCCATCTACACACGCTGCATCATGTAAAAAACGGTCAACCGAATGGTCAATCACGAAATTGGATTCAACCATGACCCGAACCATGTCCACGTTTCCGGATCGGATGGCTAACGACATCACCGACTCCCGGTTCACGTCTCGGTGGTTCACGTCAGCACCGGCGGTTATCAAAGATGAAAAGAATAGTAAGTTCCCGGTTTTAGCAGCTGATCTCAATAAAGAATTGAGCTCATGATTGTTGCAAAATGAAATGGCTCGTGATAGAATAAACGAAGGGTTAACAATTTTAGCAGCGGGAGACGAGAGGAGGAAATCAATAACGTCATGGCCAACAAAATTGATCGGAATTGTGGCGTCTTTGAAGATATGCCGCCCGGATTTGGAGAATAAGAGATGGAGATTTTCCTGATTGGTATTTCCGGCGAGCACGATTGATGAACGAACGAGAATGGTGTCTGGATTAGGGGCGGCAATTGGCGGCTGATTAGAGGATTGAGATAGGAAAAGAGTGAAAGAAACGGTGGCTAGAGGTGGAAGGACGACTAAAGCGTGGTGGAAGGAGAATCGAGTGGGGTTTGTGGTGTCGAGAAACACAGCAACTGACATGGTGTGCATGAGATTGGTTAACGTAAAGGTAGTAGAACATTTCTGGCCTCTGATGAACACTAGGTTCAACTCCTCCACATCTGGTTTGACCAGTCTGTCCATGGCATTCTGTTGGGCAAATGGAGATTTTTAGTATATATGGAGTGATTAGGAGACTTTTTCTAACAAAAAAGATGTACTCTTCTAACATACGGAAGATGAGCGAAGCAAGACTTAGTTAACTTGTTTGACCCTACCAACACGCTAATTATAATGTTTATTAGTGTATAATATAATATTATTATAATTCGGGGACCATTTTGAATGGCATCCAAGTTTAGAGCAACCTCCGAAAGTGGGAATCTTTATATTTGATCTTGACAAATAGATAGTAAAATTGCTACTTGTTTGATTGTTTCTAATGGATCGATGTTAGGAACACGGCCCAATTAAATGCTAATCATGAAACCACATATTCACAAGAATTATGTGTTTTGTAAATGAAATTAATAAAAATGGTAGAGTTACATAACACATGTCCTGGACAGTATTGACCAGCCATTGATCAGGGTTTAAAGTTACCAACAATTCAAACTACCGTGCCAAAAATTTGAAAGGTTACTATTCCTAATACAATTGAGAATTAATACTATATATAATTGTTAATTCCAATCACATGACGTCTGTGGGCTTCAATTAGAATGCATGCATTAAGCATTTGACAATATTTTCAAATATAAATGAATAAGTTTCAATTTTATCAAGTTCGATGGATGAAATATATCGATTAAGAATAAGATCACAATATATGTATTCAAACACATTATATACTTGAGCATAAATTAGCGTCATTGAACCAAGAATTTAACCTCAGTCTAGAAATCTAGAAATCTAAAGATTTTAAGCTTAAATTTTGTATAGGAAATCGATCCAAAATTACATCACAAATATGTATGTCTTCAATCACATTATCATGGCTAAATTAAGAAATTGATAATAGTTGACTTTGATGACCATCTAAGTAATAAAAACATCACCATTTAGTCATCTAAAGTTCAAATCGGATTAATTAAAAATATTATGAGTTTGGAAGGACTAAGGAGGAACGAGGATGATGAAATGTGAACAACGACAATAACCATAATTAACCCAATTAAGTCACAAAAAACATTAAGTAAAAAAAAAAAGATTTGAAAACCATGATATTTTTCTTACAATTAAGACACTAGGTTTTTATAAAATCTGATTTTGATACTATTTTTTCAATTTGATTCAATAGTGACTAGTTGACAACTGACATGATATGATTATGTGTTATTTTTGATGATATGATATTGACATAACATGACACATAGTGGTGACATGTGTTAAAATTGAAAAAAAAGTGGTGTGAAAAAAAAAACAATGTCAGAATCAATTTTTTTAAAAAACTTTATGAAACTGCGAAGCGGAATGAAATAAGGGTCTGCAGTTGTTTACATGAACCACATGCAACATTCTTTCCATCAAGGTATTGTCCTCCAGAACCGTTTTAGACAAGAAATCTGGCACCCTTCGTTTCACTGCACATAAAACAATAAAAACAAATATTAGTTCAACGCCAAATCAATACTGTGATGAAAGTACTTTAAGTTTTTGTATAGTTTTCTCTGATATAGAAAAATATTTTTATAATGATTGTAATTATAAAAAATAAGGGCTTAAGGCTCATTTTACATATATTTAACATCATTGAACAATGTGGTGCAGTTGAGTTGATGAAGATGAAACCTGGAAGAATTGTGATAATCTGTAATGCAAAGATTGATATGTTTAAAGGGTCAATGAAACAAGCGGTTGACAAATGGGGTCAAATTGACGTAATTGACCATGCAACTTTCGTTGTGAAAGAAGACAACAATCTATCAGTGGTTGAATATGAATTGGTAAATGACAAATGGGGTTAAATTGACGTAATTGACCCTGCAACTTTCGTTGTCAAAGAAAACAACAATATATCAGTGGTTGAATATGAACTGGTAAATGTTTAGTGTTTTTAATGAGCTCCGCTGTTGACTGGCCTCTATTAGGTAAAGATCTATCTTTTTGTTACTAAATTATTGATTATCTTTTCAGATGAAAATAATAAAAAGGTTAAATCTAATTATGTTCATGTACTACTGCAGATGGTTTAGATGGCTCTAAAAATTGTCAATCTGGTGAAATTCAGGTTCGTTTTTTAGCAAATTCAGTAACAGATGCATGTTTTTCTATAAAATATAATTTTGTTTATTAAGTTTTTTACAACATATTCTTACATTTATGCTATTGGGTGAGAACTGAAGACATAGATACTCCTACATCAGTGATAAAGATTGACATAAATACCCCTTGTTTATTTTTTTAACGCCTTGTCTTTTGTAATTTTATAGCGATGTGTTTGGCTTTTTTTTTTATTTTTTTTTGTAAGTTTTTGCTGGTGAATTGATACTTTTGCATATGTGAAACATTGCAGTTTATGTTGTTGATTACTGGCATGATATTTCCATAAGAATTGTACATATGATATTAGGAATTTGGTTGCTTTTTTTCTAAATTAAAAAGAAAATTACATTGCTATTATGTGACTTTTTATGTCTGTCATGCATAACCGATAAACAAAAAACTAAAGTTATGGTCTTAACCGAACCCCACGGAGCGGGGTTTAACACCTAGTTTAATTTAAATATGTTGAATAACATATAAGATGTTATTTAATTTTTATTAATTAATTTTACTTAGTTGCCTAAAATATAGATACTTTTTATTTATCTCTCTTTATAAAATGTCTTATTTGCAATAAATTGTATTATACAATGCATGCTAGTTCATGTTACAAACATGTACCTTAAGATCATATTTTTTCATTATTTTTAATCTGATAGTTAAATTTTGATCATACAATTATACAATACTTATGATTCACATTTAATCTTAATTATATATATTATATATATATATATATATATATATATATATATATATATATATTTGGTCATACAATTATACACTACTTATGATTTACATTTAATCTTTTATATATATATATATATATATATATATATATATATATATATATATATATATATATATATATATAAAATGAGATACAACAGAAAGTAGAAACAATAATGACAACTTGAGAGAGAAATCAATTGGTTTAAAACAAAAACAAGAATGATTAAATGCATGAACAAAAGAACAACCATCCAAATCTGAAACCATAAAAGAACAACGACAAAAACCATAAAAGAACAAAAAATCTGAAATTTTGAAGGTGGAAATTAAGAAATTAAGGAAAAAAGTATCGTTATTCGACTTAATCGCTAATTTTGAAGGTGGAAATTTAAGAAATCTTTAGTTATTAGAAAACCTCAAATATTTTATTACTTTAGTCAATTTTGATATGTTCAAAGGTTATAAGACCAAATTATTAATTTTCTCAAAATAATGAGATTTTTCTGGAGATTTCTTCAAAATTTGTTTATAATGTATAGAGTATTTTTTTAAGTATTTTTACTTTATATGATTTTTTTAGTATTTTTACATATTTTTATGTATTTTGGTATAATTTTTTGAGATATTTATGTATTTTTAGGTGTTTTATATAGTTTTCTTTTCATATTTTTATGTATTTTAAATATATAAATGTGTTTTTATGTATTTATATTTATTTTTTAAAGTATTTTGGTATATATTCTTTTTACGTATTTTTATATATATTTTTTATTTCAAGTTCATTATATGCTAACAATTATACTTTGTAAATGAAAAAAATAACATTAGAGTACTTCAAAATAATCATTTTCAAATAAGATCCTTAACAATCAATGTGTAACACCGTAAATTTCAAGACAAAATTTTCATTTAAAATAATCATTTTACTCTTAGAAACACTTGTTTAAAATCTTATTCATAGTCGATTTACAAAACATAACTCCATTTTCACTTGCATAGAAAACCAGGATCCTCCAAAATATGACTCTTTCTCTAATGTGTACAATCAAGCCGGTGCCGTCCCGTGATACTGAAAGAAACCTGAAAAACATCAAACAAAACACTGTAAGCACGAAGCTTAGTGAGTTCCCCAAAATACCACACATAACACATATTAGCCACTCGAGGCTATAACTCTGTGGGTCCGTGCACCCAAACTCTGTGAACCCTCAGGTTCTAACTCTGGGAACCTTCCGGTTCCAACTCTATAAACATGCACAACATAAATCACATAGAAATAATGCAGTACAACACATCACGTACATATAGCATACAAATACTCTAATCACATAACTCTGGTTACCTACTCAAGGTAAAGTATAGTGAGAAGACTCACCTGGCAAGCAGGAAGCAGATATCCCCACACTTGAATCTCGAACTCGCCACCGCCTAACACGTAAGGCAAATACTCTCATGAATATAACTCTCGAGACTAGAATAAATCCTCTCATAACACCCTCTTATGGTTAAAAGACTATTTTACCTCTCTCTTGGCCCAAAGGCCACATCGCTGACCAAACCCTAAAAGTCAACGGCCAACCCTTGGTCGAAATCAAAGTCCTCAGTCTAAGTCAACCCCTGACTGACCCTACTCGCCGAGTCAACCCTGTGACTCGTCGAGTTCCCATAATCAGAACTTTATTCAATCTGCGACCTAACTCGCCGAGTCACCCCGAGACTCGCCGAGTCCAACAACTCTGAGTCCACTCGCACTCGACTCACCGAGTCATCCCTCGACTCACCGATTCTCGGCTCAACCAGAGAATATTTGGGACTCTTCGACAAGACTCGTCGAGTCCAAGGCTATCTTCAACCTACTCGCCGAGTTGTTCTTCCAACTCGTCGAGTTCCAGGCCATCTTCAAGCAACTCGTCGAGTCGACCCATGTGACTCGCCGAGTACCACCGTTCTGAATCCATTCAGAAGCACTCCAGGCCATGCAATTGATCCAAAACATAGATCTAGCCTCCTACAACCCATCCATCACGTAAAGTGGCAAACTTTACGTGAATCCAAAGAGATCTAAGCCGTTTGCACATTGGGGCTAGGGTTTGGGACATGTAAGCTTCACTAAACACTCCAACACAGGGACTTTCATGCTCTCTGAT